ATTCCTTAGCCACTTTCAAGAGCTCCAGTTCCCCACAGGGGATCGGCTCCCAGGAATTGATTGCAGTCGCCCTTCTGCTGCATTTACACATAACTGGGAAGGCCAAGATCTTTTTGGCGAGCTCTGAGCCCTCCCAAGTGGCTTTCCTCTGCAGCTTGGCCCAGTGATCCTCAGCCTCGGGACCGGAATATGAGTGTGAGGAATCCCTACTCTTGTCCTCCAAGGAGGACAGAGGGCATTTGATGACTGCAGGTGGCCTCTTTGGGCAACCAGCATCTGCCTGTTTGTGGGAGGCAGTGGAAGCCAATATGGCCTCCTTCTGGTCGCTGTCATCACCACTTCCAGCGTTGTCAGAATGGGAAGGGGAGGGACCATCAGGGGAGGAGCTGAGAGAGGAGGAGGTAGGAATGGGGTGCGCAGTGGGGAGGGGATTTCCAATAGAGAAGGGAAGTCCCAATGTGGACATGCTTCCCAACACAGAAGAGGAGGGGCAGGGCGTGATGACAGACATAGAGAAAGTGGCAGGATGTAGAGTTGACAAATGGCCGTCACCTTTGTGGGGTCAGTGCCACTTTGTGGGGAAAGGGCAGGAAAACTTGGAGAGGGAGAAGACAAGATGGCAGGGGTGGCCACATTGCCGGCACCAGTGGGGAGGGGATTTCCAATAGAGAAGGGAAGTCCCAATGTGGACATGCTTCCCAACACAGAAGAGGAGGGGCAGGGCGTGATGACAGACATAGAGAAAGTGGCAGGATGTAGAGTTGACAAATGGCCGTCACCTTTGTGGGGTCAGTGCCACTTTGTGGGGAAAGGGCAGGAAAACTTGGAGAGGGAGAAGACAAGATGGCAGGGGTGGCCACATTGCCGGCACCACCTTGGAGAACAACGGGGGGTGGTAGAACTGGGCACGTGGGCATTGGTAAGAGGGTTAGGGGAGAGCCCAAGGCAGCATGGCCAGTGCTGCCCTGGAGAGGGGACAGAGGACTCTGGGAGATGTCAGGGAGACCCGTCGTTGGGACGTGGACGACCGAGGATCCATCTCCTGATCCTCCCTGAGGCAGGGAAGAGGGTTTAGGGATGTGAGGGGAGGAACGTGGGGAAGGGGTTTTAAACTGGGTTCCTGAATGTTTCTCAATATTTTCTACAGACTTAACAATAATATCAAACAAAGGATAAAATTTCCCCACTGAAAGATCCCCTTTAACGTGAAGAATGTAGAACCTTTCCTCCACAGGGTTCCAGAACTCATAGTTAGAACGGATTCCCTCATAACATCAGAAAAAGACTTAAACAAGCAACGAACAAAATGTTTTAAGCCTCCCTTTGAGAAATGAAAGTTTTTTCCAACAAAGATTCCTTTAACCTGGGTAGAAACGTTCCTCTGTGGGTGGGTCAGTTTGGCTTCCATCCCCACACTTCCTCCCAACACCCGAGAGGAAAAGAAAGCAAAGGAAAGACGAAAAAGTGTGACCTCCAAATATATTACTCACACGACCATGGGTCAGCAAAAGCTCTCAGGATGGTCCGTCAGCTTCGACCGATCTTCTCACCTCAAGAAGGTTGCCAGTCACCCGTGGGATTCCCCCAATAAAACTTAGAAGTCTCCTCTGGGACCTGGCTGCTCTGAACACGACTTAATTCCAGTAGCAAAAAAGCTACGGGAGACGCTTCCAGGAATGCTCCAAAGAGGTCCCTGCTCAGGCTGCCAGCTGTCACAAGCCGCTAGCCCGTTGGTGGTGGAGCGAGAGGCAGCGGTGCCACGACCTTCCAGAAGCGTCTCCAGTGATGAAGCTGCTCAGTGGCACAGGAACACACACACAATCACTGCAGCACACACTTCTCTTGTAGAATCACCAATGGCAAAGGAGTGGGAAGGGTCTTTGTGTGGAGGTCAGAGGAGGAGGTTTATTCCAGCCATGCTCGAAGGGGACCAGGGACAGAGACAAAAAGAACAGTGCAGGGTGCAGGTTTGAATACAGGGGACAAGGGGGGCGAAGCAGAGTATCAGGGCCAATGGGCTGAGGGCTCAGGGCCTGTTTAACCTCTAACAGACTTATGCCCTTGGGAAAATGGTTAAGATTACCCAGTGGTATCAGGGTTTACAGGACTAGGTCAACTTCTGGGGGATTGGAGACTTGGTGGATGGATAAGAAATGTCATCAAAATAGGCTTCTATGTACTAGGCATTGTATTATGTATTGTTATGCTTATTTCTTGTATTTTACAGTGTGTGAAAAAATTAAGACGAGTCACTTAAGAGTGTATTTTTGTTTGAATAGATAGGGGGAGGTATGGGGAATAAAACACAGAGCACAGTGTAACTGATAAAGGGGCCTGATATCTGAGACCTGATTGAGCATAAACCATGGAAAAGACAGACACAGATCAAGGCTCCCTGGGCAAGAAGTGACCAAGAAACATATTGAGAGACTTTGTAATTAGATAATGTTACCAGGTGATGTGATGTCATGAAGAATTTGTAACCAA